AGAATCTATCACCACGTCTATTCTGCTTCTGGTCTTTCTTGACAAAAGAAGCCTTCAGATCTTGCTCAACTTCTCTCTCAGAATTTCTCTCAGACAGACGTAACTCCTATGCTTTTAAGCTGCTTTGTAATTCTTCTATTTTCATGGTTTCTAGATTTTTAGAATGTTCAATAGAAACAACAATGTAATCAAACTGAGGAATGAGCGACCTCAGAATCTTTTCTATGATTACCTGTTCAGTTAGAGTTTCTCCACACGCCTTCATCTCGTTAGTGATCAGAATCACTCTGGAGATATATTCAGAAACTTTCTCACTGCTCTTCATGTTCAGGTTCTCATATTGCTTTCGTAGGGATTGAAGCTTCACCTTCTTTACTGATGCGTCACCACCGTAACATCTCGTCAGTAAATCCCACGCCCCTTTAGACGTTGTTGAATCAGCAATCTTCTCGAACACATTTTCATCCACACACTGATGGATATATAACAGAGCTTTCTGGTCCCTCTTTCTCATCAACCTCTCAGCAGTTCTCTGTACTTCAATTGCATCTGCTGCAGCTGGTACATAACCATCTGTAACCAGATCCAGAACATCTTGTGCACCGAACAGTACACGCATTTGTATCATCCATCTGTTCCAGTTTTTGCCATTAAAAACTGGAAGTTTAGTGTTCAAACTACCGTCTCCACTCATTTTAAACCTTGCACGGATTTTTAGATCTTAAACACACTGTTTCCCAACCCACAGAATCAAAATTCTGTTCAGAATTTTGTTCAAGATTTCAACAGAAAATCAAAGAACAAAACTCAAACACGCAGCTCACAACCACTCGTGTTTCCCAGGAAAAACAGAACCAAAAGCTCTAGATACCAATTTGTTGGTGCAAGGTAATGGAAGGAGAGATAAAGAATGAACAATGAATGATAACAAAGAGGACTACTTCTTTATATTCAAATAGAGGAATGAATTTGGGATACAATATTGAAAGCCTAGGTAGCATATTTATACTAGAAATTGAAACTACCAAAAGGCCCTAATAAAGAGTAAGTATTGGGAATTGTGGACATTAAATAAATTACATTTCCAATACAAATTTCACTATAATGCTATATTTTTTTGTAGTCTCCCCACCATCAAATGCATCATGTTTTTGAGATGAATTGCAAAACTGAAAAAAATGTTCTTCTATCTTGAACAAATATTTTTCAGCTTTTTCAATCCATCTCAAACAATGGTGCCGTTGTTGTTGTTGTTGTTGAAGGTTTTGAACAACTATAATTTATTCCTAAAAGTCTTTACTGAGGGATTGCAAGTGCAGAAAAAATATTTTCCATTTTTTAGAACAAACACCTTATTAGAAGTTGGATGCATTCAAAGCATGCACCATGTATACGCTAGTGAAGACAGTGATAATGATAGCATCAACAATCAATCTTGGATGAAAAGTTCTGACATTCAAGCATCAACACTTTTATGATTGATTGCAAGTGCAAAAAAACCATTGAAGGGATTTGTTGTAAACAATTTATTTTAATTTCATGTGTAGACAATGTAACATAAAAAAGTTATAATAAGAACTATCACCTTAATTTTTAACCTTAACCGAGGTGATAGTTAAAAATAATAATAATAATAATAATGTTACCTCGATTTTGTAAATAAATCAAGGGGTATAATAGTCAAATTTTACTATAAAAGAAATAGTTAGATTTTATCCTAATTTATGCTAATATGAAGTCGCCGTAAATCCGCATCATTAATTAGGATAGATTGCAAGATAGAAAAATCTTCAATATTCTTCTATCTAAAACAAAATATTTTTATGACCTTGTAATCTATCTCACAAAATGGTAATGGTATTATATTTTTTTTGTTGCTTATTTGATAGATTGCAACTGCAGAAAGTCATTCTTTTTTCAAGTTACAAAAAGAAGGAAATCAACCTTTGAAAGGTTAAACAAAGATGGAAGCTTAACTTTTCAGAAGATAAATATCGACGAAAAATGAAAAATCTTATGGGGGAAAAAATTTCTAGCATCTTATATGGGACCTGGACATGTTGTATTTTTAATATTCTGAATAAACAATCTTGATATTCTGCGAAGATTTGTTGAATACAATGTATTTTTAATATTCTGGGTCAATTATGTAACCATTTTTGTAAAAAAAATCAATCTAACCCCTCAGTTTAATTCCAAAACCGAGAGGATAGTTAAGTGTTATTTTTCACTATTTTCAATGGCCTTAAACAAATCTTTGCCGTCTATTTAAATATTATTAAGGCTCAAGAATCTGTCATTAGTGATCCGCGTGAAACCTAAGGGACATCCATTATATAAGTTCACTTAGGATATTGGAAATCTAACCTAAATAAAACATATGAAGCACTTGAAACCTAAAGACGCTTGGAAAAGTTCTCTACGATGGATTGCAAGAGCAAAAAATCATCTAGGTTCGAGGTTTGTTTTATTAAATTTTTATTTGTACCGAAAATATTTTTGATTATTGATATTAATTATCTTACCCATTTTTTCACTGAAACAAATGCATGCAAGATCCGGAGAGAATATTCTTGTACCCAATATTTGATCTTCACCTAGATTCAATAATTTGAATATCTAAAGTCTAAATCTAGAGGAAATTTGATTTTTATCTAGATCCTTAGTGAATTTGATTTTAATTTAAATTTTAATTTTTGGGATAAACAATGTAATATTCTGGGTAAACAATGTAACAATTTAAAAATTAATAATAAGCATACCTCTCAATTATTCGATATACCGAGAAAAAAGATATGATAATTTTGAAAATAATAAAATTTGTTGTTGCTGGAGTTCGAACACACGCGCTAATAAAACTATACCTTGGTGTTTTAAACACTGAGGTGATAAGTTTTTACTTTTATGACGACCTTATTTACCTCGCTTCTTTTTTCTGAGGTGAAACACATTTCGCGTTCAAGATTAGAAGCGTTATTTGTAGTAGTAATTAAATGAAAGTAAGTGTGATTAGTTTAATGATTGCTTCACATTCCCAACTCACATTTTTTTAACTAACCAGGAGATGTCTGGAAGTTGACTCATCTCTCAAGGGATCACGTAAGTATTCACCAAGCTGAAGGACTCGCCCTTTAATAAATATTCTCCTTCAGCTTAGGGACTTGCCCCTTTAGTAAAAGGATGTCATCCGCTCAGGGACTCACTGGTAGGGCGAGGGGAACGCCTAAAAAGAAAAAGGATCTTAAAAATAATTTTCCCTTTGCAAATCCCTCTTGCTCGACGGACTATGTAAAGTTATATTTATGAGTATCCTAAATTAGGCCGCCCTCGTCCAAAAGATGTACCGCCTAGGCGATTACTTAAGGACTTTCCATTGACAGTGATGATGTGTAATTTCGTTAGTCAAAGGAGAGAAAGCCATCCACTATTCTCTAAAGGATATGTGGTCAATAACTTCTGATCATGAAGGAGCAGTTGCTGCCACTCAGGTTTATCTAAATCCTAGGCTCAAAAGGCCTCTATAAATACTTATCCTCCAAGGAGGGGAAATGACATATTTAAATTTATAGGGATCACAATAACCATCCGCTTATACCTAAGCACATTGTCCATCTACAGAGCATCTCTCCGCACATGAATAAGACTCTTAAAACCATATTAATACACCACCATATAGGGCTTCTCGCCGCTGCAAATCCCTAACCCCCATATACTATAATATACCTACAAAGTCCACTGTGCCACGTGCCCTTGAAGGAGGAACACACACATACACACCTGTAATTTTGTACCAATACACAACTTATGTGGATTTTGCATCATTTTGCTATTACATTGTATATTTGAAGTCATGGATATGATCAAGACGTTGTTTGTTATTAAATAAAAAATACTTAACTAAAAAGCCTACTTTGTGAGAGTATGATCATTTGATAATTCCTTCAAACCTATAAAAGTGAAAAGTTTATTCTTTTAACTTTACAATCTTAGTCAATTTTAAAACAAAAACAATATACACCACTTTATCTTAACGATAGGAAAATACTTTAAAAGTAATTGTATTTCAAAAATTAAAGTTAGAGAAAAAGGAACAGTTTTGGAGAAAAAAATCAAGTAGTAAATGTAAATAGAAATAAGAGAATATAATTTGATAAACAAAAAAGAAAAAGAAAATAAATTATAGGTCAAAGCATACAAATACAAGTCAAAAAAAAAATTGTCGTAAAGAAGATAAGAAAAAAAAGACTCTTTAAAAAAAGTGATATACCAAAAAGTTTTTAATCTTTTATTTTTGTATTCCAACCACATTTCAATCAAAAGAAAGACTTTACTGTCTAAATAAATTGGCAATCCCTAGAAAAATGACATTGTAAAGATTATAAGAAAAATATTTGTTTATTACTTATTTAATAATTTATGATCATGCTATTTTAATATCTTTGACTAAAAAAATTTTTTAACATTTAAAAGTAAATACACATTTATAAAAAGAGTTTCACTTGAAATAATCTTAATAATTGATATTTTAATTGAATACAATTAGTTTATGTTTAATATCCTAATGTTTTCATGTTTTTATTTAAAAAAATAGTATAATAATAATAATAATAATAATAATAATAATAATAATAATAATAATAATAAAAGGTATTTCTTTAATAATAATATAATAGTATTAATAATATTTTAAGAAAAAAAATCAATATTTTCTAAAAAAAACATAAATAAATAAAAAGGTAAATAAAAAGGTACATCTAGTCTTTACAAATGGCATACATGAAGAACAAATCACCTTTCAAAAATTACAAAATAGCCTTTATGCTTCATTTGCATTTACATTTAGATATGCATTCATATACACAAGTAAGTGAGTATAAAAGAAATTTCACAGTAAAAAAATCAATACGCTTGATTGACCACAATGTCAGAAAATCAGCATTCTCGCGTTGAAGAATCTCTCCAAGAGAACCAGATGACTAAGAATGAAGAGAACCCCGAATATGAACTTGGTTAGCATTATTTTTCTTATCTCTATTTTGAAATTATTTACTGCTTAATCTTCATATCAACTCCTATGCTTTGATTTTGTTATCGATTGCTGTGTATTGTTCATCTAGCTTATCCTTTTTTCAACAGATTTCACTCAAAAGCATTCCTCTGAAAATGTTGAAGAAGATGATGATGAAAAAGACGAAGGAAGAGGAGGAAGAAGAAGAACAAGAAGAAGAAGAAGAAGAAGAAGAAGAAGAGGTGGAAGAAGTAGAGTATGTGAAACTAATTCCATTTTTTTCATTTTACCTGTTGAAATTTCAACGTGGATCTGATTGCTCCGTTTGACTTTAAGTATAAACGAAACGAATAAAGTATGTGAAAGTTTCTGGTTGTGTCAAGTTTTTTTGCTTACTTCGATTGACTTAGCATATTTACGTGCGTGCTTTCAGGTTCATTAATCCAATTGTTTATGCTGTGTCAAAATTTGATAATTCAACAATCGCATCTGGTTGTGTCTAGATTACATTTACATCATCATGTCTTTTCTATGAATGATTTGGAAAATTCCTATATGAAATGTTTTATGACCTTGGATGTAACTTGATGAAATTGTTCATATTTATCATTAAGCGATTCGTCTCTGTAAATTGTATTGCATTCTACTGTTTGTAAATTTCTTTATTGTTGTTGTTTCATTGCAGGTATCTGGTGTTCAATTTATCTTCAATTCGAACAGAAATCGAATGCCCTATCTGTCTTGGTATCTAATTTTTAACTCATGCTAGATTGCATAGTTTAATACTGTAATTTTGTTATGCTAAAAATTGTAACAATTATGGTTTATCAAATTAAATGATATCAAATTGTTAAATGTGTCAGTTTAATATTAGTTGATGAACAAATCTAGGATAATATTTAGATACAAATAAAGCCTATATAATTAAGTTATGTTGTGATGGAAGTTATGAATCAATAACAACTTATGTTTTAAGTCTGGCTTCATCAGATTACATTCTATATCTGCAGGCATCATTCGAAACACAAGCACTGTAATGGAATGCTTGCATCGCTTTTGCAGAGAGTGCATACACAAGAGCATTCGACTTGGGTTTCTCCTCAAACTAACCACCATTTATTTCAGCTTTATATAATTTCAGCTCTAAATTATTTCTATTTCTTTATTTGTAGTAACAAAGAATGTCCTACTTGTCGTGTACATTGTCCTAGCAAAAGGTCACTGAGAGATGATCCATCCTATGATGCTTTGATTCAAGTTTTGTGTCCTGATATTGACAAGTTTGAGAAAGAGGTAAGTATACATATTAATTGCATCTTAAATATATAAGAAAATTCTAATTTATTTGAATGAAAAACAAATGAACAAGATTATGTTGTTTCCTAGGAATTGGCTTCGATTGAAGAAGAATTGGATCTGCCTAATAAGAAGGTAAATTCATTTATTGAATATAGTTGTTTAATTAAAAATGTATATTTATAATATAAGAAACTCTACTAGAGAAAACAAATGTCTTGATACGTAGTGAAGCTAGTAATATTATTTTATAACCTCATAATTTATGCTCTTTCAGGTGTCTTAAAAGCTTCATTTGCATCGCATGTTGTAGAATTGGTAGGATGGCACTTTGTGTAACTTGAATATGCTATATCTCGGGTTCTGTGCACTAGTTTACACTAGCCACTCCATATTAAACATTCAAATGGATGAAATACTTTTTGTTATGGTTTGAAATTATTAGATTAATATTTGTGTTTTTTTAGAATATTAACTTTATGTTGATTTATTGTACTAGTCGATAATACTAGTAAAATTTTTAAGATATGCCTTCAAGGTGTTCATTACAAGAAAATATACAATTAGTCAGGTGATTATGTCAGGTGTTATTCACCTCGCAATAAAATGTATTTGTAATTGGTGTTATTCACCTTGCAACATTGTTTTTAAAATAAAAGAAAAAATTGTAACTGTTTTTATCTCGTAGTTGATTGAGGAAATTTGGAATTTTTTGAATTGAAAGTTGCAAAGTGAAAAACATTCTACAACTGTTTTTAAAATTTTTGAGGAGAAGCCCAGTTGTATAATTATTGATGCGTCAGTGGGGACAAAGTAACTTTATTCTGATACAGATAGCGAGGTTATAAGCACCCTGCAAGTTCCAACGGTAAGAAACTTTGCAGGGTGAATCCCACTTCGCAAGAATTTTTTGAAAAATTGGGTGAAAAGTACATATTATATTTATTAATTTAACAGAGGAACAGGTAAACGTTCTAGTCAATACTGACATCATTAGTTGTGGGGTGCTATTCACCTTGTAAATTTCAACAGTAATAAATATTGCAGGGTTTTTCTCACCATACAAGTTTTCTTTATACATCTCCAAAATTCTTTCATTTTTCTCTATTACATAAGCATAACATCCATTTCATCTTTTATCTTCTCTCAATTCTTTAAAGGGAAATTTTCCAACCCCTCTATATCTCTCAAATCTCTCAATTTTTACCCCAAATCAAACCTCAAAAACTCAAATTTGTTGATGATTTGAATTTTCATTCCATGTTATCATCAAATCCACTTATAAAGGTACACAAATTTATAAATTGTTCGTTATTTTAAACATACGAACAAAATTAGATTAATAGTTGAAAAACATATTATGCACAAAATTATTTTAACTGCAATATTAATCTATATTATTAAATTGTTTGTTATTTCAAATATGAACAAATTATTGAAGTTGATTTTTTTGCTATTATCTCTGCCTCCATGTATTCATTAACAACTGCAAATAGTTGAACCCCTAGTGCATCAAGTATGGGTTTCCTGAAGAAGAGTTTATGCGCATCTGCTCTGCACATGATACACTTGTTGTTCTACTTTTGGGTTTTGTTCATCCATGTTGTGTTTAATGTTTCTTTTATAGCATTTAACGCAATGATGAAAGTAACATAGTAATATAAGAATTTACCCTAATCATCGAAGACAAAGGAAAACAGTTGGTTTGTCTCGCCACAGCTATGTAGTTTTCATTGGCAGTGTCTTCATTTCACCAATGATTCCATCCCAATCTTATATTCTAGAGTTAGTTTCTGAACTGGTATATTTTGAAGAGCAAGATAAGGAGCAACTTGGTCACTGATTGGAGGAGATTGCACACAGCTAGCTATATTATGGTATTGCAGTTAATATTGTCGTTAATATAATTTGTTCCTTCAAAATTATTTACAGTTGTCTAAACTAGATTAATATAGATTAATATTGCAATTAAAACATATTTGAAATCAACTTCAAAAAAATTACAGCTATTTTAAAAATAGATTAATATTTCTATTTTTAAACTAGAATATTATTAATATTTGAAAAAACAAAATATTTTTTTCACTTTATTAAAAACCCTTGCCATGTGTATTTTACCCTGCAAGTTTATGAATATTCCAATGTTGCTAGGTAATATTCACTCCGCAAGTTTCTGTCACTTTCTGCTCCACTCTGCTCTGAACCATCTGCTACTCAACTGTTCTGATTTGTATTGGACTCTAAAAAAAGAGTTGTAGGGTGATTTTCACCTGACAACGTTGCGGGGTGGTTTTCTCCTTGCAAAGCAGAGTGCATTTCTCCTTGTAAAAAGTTGTGACTAACGTTTTTGTAGGATATCCCGCCCATCCTGCAAAAGTTACATTGCGGTGTGATATTTGCGTTTGTGGGGTGCTACTCACCTAACAAATTGGAGTTTTTTTTGTAGTGGTTTTTTGACAAACGGTCAAATATTGTGTTATCGATGATTTAGCATATTTAAAAATTGTGTCATAAACAACCTAATGTCTTTGTTCTCGGAGAAAAACTTGCATGTATACGAAAATTAATCTTTATTATTACAAACAAACATTAATAATAGAGAAAATATTTAATTTACTTAAAATTTAATTTCTTTTTAAATTGGTATCATGAAATACTTGTGATTATGAAAGAGAAAATATTATATTCTTATTTTTTATTTAATAAAAAAAAAATGATTGATTATTTATAAAATCAAGTGTTATGTTTATGTGTACTGCTTATAAAAAAAATATGAGCAGATTTAGATGTGTTTGTTTGTGTGTCTTACATATCACAAGTCAAATTAAATGTCAGATTTAGATTTCCTGATGTCAATAGTGATTGGAGAGTTAATTTTAGACATTAAAAAATTTAAATGACTTTGTATTACTGTGTCGTGAGTCATTGAATGTTTCACAAACAATTCAGATTTTTTCAAATGTGGGATTGAGTGAAAAATATCTGTGCATGTAATCCTAACTCTTTTGAATCCCACGTTAAAGCAAAGCAATGAAAACATGATTTTTTTTTTTTGGAAATTATGAGAGTAGGCACTTAAAACCCTAACTTGTTTTAAGTTTACTACCTCTAGAATTCGCTCAAAATATTAGCATTGATTATTAAATTCTCAAATCTTCTTTGCAATACATTATAGATATCTACTTGTAAAGATTTCAAAAGTTCTACATCAAACATGATTTTTTTATGAATGTCATAACAATTTACGAGCTCGTATATTGACTCTTATCCCCCTACAACAGTAAAAACTCACAACTTCCTTTCTAGGTCCACCTTTTGGCCTTGAAGGTACTCCTAATAACTTTAGGCTAACCTAATTTTTTTTTCTTTGCAAAAACAAAGTAATTCTTGCATTTTTCCTGCAGTAAAGTAAGAACACCACAATACTTTGTATTTCACTGTGAAAGAGCGCATAGTGAAAATGTCTCTCAGTTTAGTTCTTCTCAGATACCTCAAATGACTTAATATAATCAAGAAAATCAAAGAGGTCAATGTTTTTTTTTTGAATATTTATGATCGTAGAAATTGAAGATGAGAGAAACACAAAAAAATTGATTTCAATTATGCAATTTAAAAAAAAAATTCTATTCAAATATTTATTTGACTAAAATAACATAGATTTGAATATAAATCAGGTAAAGAGATAAGGATATAAATTTACACAAAGGTTTGTCCTGGTTCACCACACACATTATATACATTTAATTCCTTCAATTTTGAAAAAAAATTCTTTATAACCAAACCAAATACAACCACTAGAGTATCAATTGTCTTCTCAAAACTTCTAATATCACTAACTTGAAATATAAGAAGAAAAAAATATTTGAGTGTTAACAAGATATTTCTTGAAAGAGATGATATGCAATATGCACAATATTAAAAATGTATGTAATACACTTCGCTTGATTCTTTGTATTTCTAAGATGTTTTTAAGTGAATTTGTCTTATTTTCAAATGTTTCAATTTTTGTATCGTGAATGTGAAACTTTTTTGTTAAGAATTCAACTATATTTATCAATTAACACAATCTTACACTTGAAATAGTTTTTATGAATTATATTGTTGCATGAATATACTATTGTCAGAAATATTACGCATAAAATTTACTATTTTGAAGGTTTTATCACACATCACTTATAATATTGTGTTGATTGGTTAGGTTGGAAATCTAACAAAATTTATGGTGAATTTTTATCAATTTTAATGAATAAGATTGTTATCATCACACAATGACAATGAAAAGTAAAGAAAATTAAAGAAGAAAATAGATTTAGGATTTCTGCGGAGTAACTCTCTTCCCACAAACTGTGAAAAATCTTTCACTACGCCAAAAAGGGCATTTAACAGCGCACATTAGACAACACTTTTATACAAAAACGCTGCTATAAGTGAATTAAAAAAAACACAGAAACTGTATACAATAATAAATACAAGCGCTGCTAAAAATGTGACTTTAGACAGCACTTTTAAAAGCGCTGGCAAAAGTGTTGTTTTAGAAAGCACTTTATTAAAAGCGCTGGTAAAGGACCACTTTAGACAGCGCTTTTCAAAAGGTCTGTCTAAAGTCATATAAAATTTAAAAAAATTTCTCAAAAGCGCTGTTAAAGGACCACATTAGCCAGCGCTTTTCAAAAGCGCTGCTAAACGCCCATATTAGCCAGCGCTTCTAAAAAGCGCTGTCTAAAGTCATATTTAAAATTAAGAAATAGAATACCCTATTGTTTATATTTTCCCAAACTCGTTTCCCTCTCTCAGAGACCTTACGAACGAAAATCCTTTCCCTAACTCGTCGCTGTCCAAGCTCCTTCCGCCGTCGTCCAAGCTCCGTTCGTCGTCCTTCGTCCGACCAGCCCTTTCCCTCTGTCTCTCTCAGTTGTCCTCCACCGCCGACCGACCCTTTCTCATGGTATGTTCTTTCTTAAATCCTAGTTTTACTAAAATCATGATAAACTAAAATGCTCAATATTATTCTGTGTAAAATCAATTTGGGAAGTGTTTTTATTTGTTAGAGTGCATTAACACGGCTAAGAGCAAGCTAATAGAGAAATTGTTTGTAGCATGATTCTTGTTGGAATAAGTTTATGAAGTTGATATTGAATTGATTTGTCTGTCTAAAATTTTGATACCCGATACATGTCGGATTCTATTTCTTTTATGGTGTAGATCATTATTTGACTGGTTTGTGTGGTTCTGGGCAAAGTACTATTGCTAAGAAGCTTTGTTGGCATTCATAATTCAAAGGTAGTA